AAGGCAGACGCTTAACTGACTGAGCCACCCAGGCGCCCCGATATGTAACTTCATTAAGAAAGTCCACCCAGGTTTACATTCTTGTCAAGTGCCCAAAATTGAGCTTCAACACACAAAAATAACAACAAACAAAAAACCAAAGAGCAGTAAGTTTCAAAAGGATGTTAAATGAGACCCTTCCTAGATGAAATCCTAGAAATCAATTGGCCAAACAGATGCATAGCTGGAGACAACAGTTTATGAAAACAGATCCAGCTGGAAAATGCCTTGGGTACTCAATTAGATCCAGTTAGTCTGCATCTGTGGATTTAAAATGATCATCGTCCACAGTGGAATAGATGTGTCCCTCGTTGCTAAGAAAATCCACAGCTTGCCTAGAAAGAAACGGAAAAAAAAAGGCTCATTTTCAAACTGATGCAGAAGAAAGGAAACAGACTTTTGGATATGGCCAAACATAGATTTTGCTCACTTCCCACTCTCTACTTTGCTAAGAAGTCACAGCCATTTCGCTCACAGAGGGCTCGTACAGGGTGAAGTGCCATAAAAACTGCAGAAGTGAGATCATGATGGAGACTATGGCTATTAGAGCTGCCTTGGACCCCGGTCCCAAACTGTGTAAAGGCCAGAAAATAGAGCCTAACTCAAACGCCAGTCATCTAAAAATGCAGTCCAGCTTGCACATGGAACTCCTAGCATAAACAGCTATTTTTCAAAGTTTCTTCTCCTTACCCACCCACCAACCCTCTGGGAAGTAAAGCTGTAGGATGTAAAGGAAAGGAATGCAGGACAGAAATGGGAGGACACCTTCAAACCCTTCAAGACCTTCAGGATCAGTGTAACATATTTAATAATGTTTACTAACAGTAATTTAATAACAGTTAACATATTTATTATTTTATTATTTTTAATAATAGTAATAATTTATAGAGCAACTACTACGTGACAGTGTTTCTGTACCTCATCATCACTGGATCTCTGGGAATTAATTCTCTGGATATGATTAATATCTTCATTTTATAAAACAGGAAATTAGACCTGAGCTTTTCTTTTCTGTGTAAACCTAGAATATCAACTGATTTATTTACAGTAACAAGTAACTATCAAAAGCACCAAAATACTCAGCTTGTTTGATTGGCTCATCAGAATCAGGAAGCTGCTCGTCTACCATGGAATCAGAAGGAGGTTGGAAGGACCGATATAGGGCTTCAGGTCCAGACAACCAAATGCACATCTCCACAGTGGAAACAGTAACACCAATGGGACTGTCCATCTGAGGGCCAGGAGCTAAGGATCTCACTCCTCCACACTGAATTCCACAAGAGGTCAAATTTTATCTGGTCAATTTTGTTCAAAGTTACATCCCCTGCACATAACGGGAATCACTATTTGTTAAATGAATGACTGAATCAGTGATGTGACGGATAGCATCATCTTTGTGAGTCCTTTTTCTATCTTTCCATGACCAAACAACTTCCCTTCCGTCAATAAAGATGGCAGCTGACAGTTTTATTTTTATTTGTAATTCACTTCTCATTACCAGGAAACCCTGCTAAGGTAAAATGGGGACAATTCTGGAGCCCCAGCTGATAGAAACCAAATACTCACTTTATTGAGGCTACAGTCATGTGTTGGAGCTGGTTCTTGAGATCATGAAAGTTTAATCCTTCAGGTCTTGGACAAGCCTTAATCAAATTCAGCACCTGAAGATTCAAATGAGAAAGATTTGAGCAACTACTCTAAATCAACTCCCTTATGTAAACATGAGTGTCCCCACCCCCCGCCTTTTTTTAAGATTTTATTTATTTACTTGACAGAGACACAACGAGAGAGGGAACACAGCAGGGGGAGTGGGAGGGGGAGAAGCAGGCTTCCCGCTGAGCAGGGAGCCCAATGTGGGGCTCGATCTCAGGACCCCAGGACCATGACCCGAGCCAAAGGCAGCCGCTTAATGACTGAGCCACCCAGGCGCCCCTAAACCTGAGTCCCTTGATAAGAAAGAAATGAGTCAGGTCCTTAGCCTTAGAATCATTAAGGAAGTAACAAATTTAAGACTGTCTGTGCCTTGAATTTCTGGAGCCACTCAGTGTTTACCTGGTTTTGGGCCACAGTGAGGCCATTTGCTGGCATGGAGCTATTCCCACCAAAGTTCCCTGTTTCACCCATTCCTGGATTGCTGATAGGTGCTCTCCCTGCTGGGGGCTGAATTAAGAAAGAAGTTCACAGCATCAGAAAAATTACCAAGTTAAACACAGTCCTTGTTATTGTGTTATAGCCTATCAATAAGCGCTCACAAAAATAATTTAAGCCGTTTTCCCAATAACAATTGCTTACATTGGAAGGAGCAACTATCATCATTAACGAGTATTTCTAAGGAAGATAAAGTGATTCTCTGAAGCATATATTATCAAACAGAGAGAGAGATACCTGCTAGCTCCTTGTTTTTGTGCTGTTGAGGGGAATCAAAGGAAAACTAGCACCAAGAAGAAAATCACCTGGAGATTTGCTATAATGGTATCTATCCTTGGTGCTTTATTATTCAAACATGCACTCGCTCACTCATTTATTTATTTTTGGGAATTCTTACCTTGTTCCTGATTTTATTATTATTAAAAAGTTTTTTTTTTTTTTTAAAGATTTTATTTATTTATTTGACAGAAAGAGACACAGCGAGAGAGGGAGCACAAGCAGGGGGAGTGGGAAAGGGAGAAGCAGGCTCCCCGCTGAGCAGGGAGCCCGATGCGGGGCTCGATCCCAGGACCCCGGGATCACGACCTGAGCCGAAGGCAGACGCTTAACGCCTGAGCCACCCAGCCACCCCAAAAAGTTTTATTATTGAAATATAGTTGACACACAATGTTATATACATTAGTTTCAGGTATATAACATAGTGATTCAACAATTCTATACATTACCGGATGCTCACTCTAAGTGTTCACCCATTTCACTCACCCCCCCACTCAGGCATTTACTGTCACCTAGGCATGAAGCATGACAAGGAGAGAAAAACAAACAGTTCCCATCACTCTTTGTTCTTTTTTTATTACCAAACTTTTAACAACGGACTATAATCACTGTTTCCATTTCCCTTCTTCTTAGTCACTCCCCAGACCACTATATTTGCACTCTCACTGAATATACCTCTGAAATTGTTCTCACCGAAGTCACCAATGACTTTTCAACCAATATGCCCAACAGTCTCTTTCAGTCCTAACGCTACCTCTCAGAAAGACACGCTGACCACACTCCTCTTTAAATGTACCCACCGCTCCCTAGGTTTCTTGATAGCATGTTCTTCTGGTTCTCCACTTACTTCTCAAACTCTACCTTCTCAGCATCCCTTACCAGCTTTTCTCTCTACCTATCTCCCAAAAGACTGATAGCTCCCCCAGGATTCCATCCCAGACCTCCTCCTGGGCCACAAATTCTTGTTCCCAGCCATGGACTGGATACGTCCACCTCGCTCTCTCACACACTCTGAAGTAAGATTACGACCCTCCCCAAACCTGCTTGCCCTGCTCTATCCCACCTCAGTGAGTAAAGCTAACCTAATCCTGCAGACTTCAGTCATCTGTGAGTCCATTCACTCACCTCCCACAGTCTGTCACCACAGCCTATCACACAAGCTTCAGTGTATCTCAAGTCCCTCTTCCTCACCCTGGCCTCCCGATGGCATCTCAGCAGCTAGTCTCTTCCACTCCAGTCAACCTCCCTCTTTGCTACCACGTTAACAGCTTTGGATCCTGTGCCTCCTCTGGCTGGAAAGCTTTCAGGTGGCTCCCCCTGCTGGTGAAAAGATAAACCTAGACATTCAAGACCTACCACAACTAGATGTCAAAATCTGTTTTATTCTTGACTGTTCCTTCTCGACACACTTTACTCCCCAGCTGCACCTGGACTTCTTGCCAACTACAAACATGCCTCTGCCTCGAACATGTTCCCTGTCTAGAATGCTCCTCCCCTCATCTGCCTGGTAAACACTGACTTCTCATCCTTCAAAGTCCAACTTAATTTCCACTGCCTTTGCAGAGCTTTCCAACACGCCCCAAGCCAAGACAGCCATGTTCTTCCTCCTTGGCTCTCACAGCAGCCATCACACTGTTCACCTGGCACTTTCCGCCACAAGTTCCTCCATTTTCACAGTGCCTGGTGCAGTACGTGCTCAGTCAATGTTTCATCCACCGGACTGAATAAATAAAGATAACAGAACATCAAACGTGTTAAGTACTCTTAACAGATATAAGAGCACTGTGGAAGCTCGTTAGGAGACATCCCATCCTGTCAGGAGACACATTCATTCAATAAATGCTCATTAAATGTCTACTGCTTTGAGGTAATAAACAAAAATCAATTGTGGTCCCTGTTTTCAAGCTAGATGCCTTCACGTTGCCTGCTGGTAAAACAGAAGTCTCACATTTTATGATCCAGTAATACTGAATTGAATGCTATTTCTTTTTTTTTAAGATTTTATTTATTTGCGAGAGAGAGAATGAGAGACAGAGAGCATGAAAGGGAGGAGGGTCACAGAGAGAAGCAGACTCCCCGCTGAGCAGGGAGCCCGATGTGGGACTCGATCCCGGGACTTCAGGATCATGACCTGAGCTGAAGGCAGTCGCTCAACCAACTGAGCCACCCAGGCGCCCCCCTGAATGCTATTTCTTACCCAGATACTCCGCTGAAAGGGCATCATGCCCTGCTTCAGGTAACCCCACCTCACGTATCTTTCAGGACTTGGTTTAGGCATCACCTCCTCCAAGGGGTCTTTCTTGATGTCCAGGTCAGGACAGGAAACCCTTCACTGTGGTTCCACAACACCCTGTGCTTGCCACTTATCCTGTTTTTACTGCTTAAGTCATCTGAATCTCCACTGCTCAAACACAAACTCTGTGGGAAAGGGGTGTTTTATTTACTCCTCAATATAACTGTCTATACTTCCAGTTTCTACTCCCTAACCACCCATTTATTTATTTATGAAATATGTGATACATACATATATATGTCCTTAAGTATGGTAATAAAATAAACACCCTAAACTTTCTACCCAATTCCGTTCTTTTTAACCCACTTCCTTCATCCTCTACTGAAGCCTCCCTTTTGAAGATCCAAGTTTCCAAATCCAGTAGCAGATGTCTCTCATCACCTGCCTTGACTTCAAGGCAGCATTCTACAGTTGATCACCTCCTCCCTCCTAAAATACTCTTTTCAGAATATTCTACAGAATCACATTTCCTGGTTTCCTCCTGCCCAACTGGCAACTTTTTTGACTTCCACTGGCTCCTGTTTAACTCCAGACTTCTAAAGGTTACTGTGTCCCAGAGCTCAGGTCTCTGACCTCTTAACTCCCCAGTTATCTCATCTCATCTGAGGCTTTAAATATCACCTACACGATGACTCCCAAAGTTCCACCTCTAGCCCCGACCTCTCCCTTGGATCCCACCTCTACATATTCAACCATCCATTCTGTTCTCCACTTGGATATCTACCTGGCACCTCATACTTGGTAAGTCCAAACAGAACTCTGGATTTACCCTCCAAATGTGCTAGCTTCACTCAGTTGCTCAAGCCCCAAACCTAGAAGTCGTTTTTGAATCCTCCCTTTTTATATCCTATATTTGTAACCCACCAAGAAGTCCTGTGAACTCTACCTTCAAAATACATCAGAATCCAACCACTCCTTATCCCAGCTACTGCTACCACTCCCAGATTAATTCTGTTGCTATTCCTGGTGCCTCATCATCTACACTCCATACAGCAGCCCAGCCCAAGCGAATTTTTTAAAAGACGTATCAGACCATGTCACTCCCTAGCTGAAACCTTCTAAGGGCCTAGAATAATGACTGGTACATACCAGGCTCAATAAATATTTCTCAAAGGAAGGAATAAATTAATGGATTTCTCTCCGTATCCCCAGTGCTTACCCAATTGTTTGGCATGGAATAGGACGCAATAGCATCCTTAGTGGCTCATGAGTTCTCTAGCCTCTCCTATTCTGTAACCAATAACCCTCCACCTGGGCCCCAGAATCATCTAAGGACTTTTTTTTTTTTTTAAGTAGGCTCCATACCCAACATGGGGCTTGACTTCACAATCCCAAGATCAAGAGTCACATCCTCTACCATACCAACTGAGCCAGCCAGGTACCCCAATCTAAGGACATTCTAATACAAGAATAAAAAACTCTCTGTGTGGCCCTAGATGGACTGGCCAAATGGAATTTACACAGCAGAAAATAATGTTGAGAAATTTCAATATGAAGCAGGGAAGATAACTTCAGGGACAAAATAATGGTGCCTAATTTTTCCTATTTAGCCAACAGGTTAGAAGAAAAGCAGTAAAATGCTGTCCCCGTTGGAATATTTCTCTAAATATAATCCTGGAGCCAAGCACTCAGCCTACAATTATGTGTCTACACTTGAAGGTTGTCTCAGGCCTCGATCTTCCAAGTCAGTGGGGTTAGAGGAACTTGTAATTCTGAGAGAAACAAGAGTGCTTCCTTTGGAATAAAGTAACATGGCAAAGCTCATGAAGAAAATGTTCTGAGGACTGAGTGAGGCCTTTCTTCTGGCTCAACCTTCAAACGTCAAGAAAATCAAAGCCAGAGAAGCCAGAAGCTGTCTGTTTTTCCAGAGAAGAGGAAAAACTCTGAGTGAAGTTGCTCACCTGGCTGTTAGATTTGCTCAGGATCATGTGTGCATTGACAACTTCCAGAATATGTGTGGTGAACTCATTCATATCCTCCAGAGGCATGATCTTAAAGGCTACAAGGCTTTTTTTGTTCTAATAAAATAAAGAGAAAAATGTGAATAAAAGACGAGCACATTCAAATCAACCTTAGCTTAAAACACTGTGGCACTTGTCTTGGTTATAATATTTTGCCAATATGGAAAAAATGTGTTATATACTTAAAATTTTTAACTCAAGGTTAATCCTAATATAGTCATTGATGGGTGAAAAAAACAAAATCAGCTAAGAGTTGTTCAATAACTTGCCCAAGGTTACACAACAAGCAGAGTATAGTCTCCTGACTCCTAATCCAGTGTCCTCCCTTTTACCCCTACTGGAGGTCACTGATGGCGATTATAGATAGGGATCCTGTTCTTTCTCTACCATTCTATTAGTTGTGTGTTTTCTCTTTCTTTCTTTTTTTTTTAAAGATTTTCCACTGAATGTGGGGCTTGAACTCAACCTGGATATCAAGAGTTGCATGCTCTTCTGACTGAGCCAGCCAGGCACCCCTCCGTTAGTTCTCTATTAAGCTAAAAACCCATTATTTCTCTTTGAAGAGAATAATGAAGTAATTTCAACCTAATTCCCATTTAACAGAAAGACTTGGTTCAATCTTAAGTATCCTAAACTGAGGCATGAATCCAGAAATTGCTTTATGCAAATATATATGTTATATATTTTTTAAAAGATTTTATTTATTTATTAGAGAGTGAGCATATTTTCTGACTTTACCTGAAAAGATCTCAGATGGCCAGCTACTTTCACATATGTCTCTGGAGGAACCACTATGTTTTCACTGCTGGCATCCTAAAAGATAAATAGAAACATATCACATGAAGGTTTTAAGGATGTTGATGAAACTTTAAAACAGCTAAAAAACAAAACAAAACAAAAAAACTGCTAAATTATGTACAGAAAGAGAGCATTATAAAGTAAGAGCACTAAAGGATCCTCATGTGGCACTAACTAGTTTGCCTACCTTTTAGAATTTACCTTTTTAGAAAATCAAGCATTAGAATAAAAAGACCTCTAAAGATAATTTCTAGTTCCAAAGTTCTGTTATGTACATCATCAAAAAAGCAAACAATTATGCACTCTTGCTCAATGCTGTTGGGCACACAACTTTCTGGTGGATATACTTATCAGCATAGCAATAATACATTTAGGAATTTAAGGAAAAAAGAACATGCATTAAGATTTAGCTTCTTTCTTTCTTTACTTACTTATTTATTTTTAAAGATTTTATTTATTTGACAGGGAGAGAGCACGCGTGCACGCACAAGCAGGAGGAGCGGCAGAGGGCAGAGGGAGAAGCAGGCTCCCCAATGCACAGGGAACCCAATGCGGGCAATTTTCTTCCTGGAATTAGCAGCATGGAGGACCTTGCATTATCCTTTTGTGCTTGCAATATGTCTCTTCATCTTTCCTTTTTTTTTTTTTTT